TATTCAAGAGCATTTTCTTTTGATATTATAATCATTCATCTTGGACTAAATAGTATGATCTAAGTATTCGGTAGTCGTTTTGAGTTTACTTAAATCGATGCTACACTAACGTGCATGAAACTTTATCAATCTACAACAGACAAAAAAAAAACACTTCATTTTGATCCTTGTAGACTTTATGAAGTAAATACATCTTTGGAAGGTACTTTCTTTTACTAGATTTGTTGAAATTATATCAAATAGAACATTGAATAGATGAGGTTTTCAGTGAGAAGAAAATAAGCTAGCTAATAGTGATAGTAGGACCGAGGTTAGCTAGCATTATAAATATAAACATCCAATAATGTAAATGTGGGTGTTCTATAATTTGTAGAGTAGGACCGTCCAAACAATGATAATAGTATTGATCAGAGAAGAAGCAGCTAAGAAGAGTATATCTGTCTCCATACCTCTAATTATAACACAACATCACGTCTCAATACTATAAACTTGTTTACAAGACACATGATTGTGCAACTTCATGGGCAATTATTTATATCATTACTATTTTATATATTTATTTATGTAATAATAAAATATGTATCATATTTTTATATGCTTGCCTTAACTTACAATAAAAATAAATCACAAAAAATATCGATAAAATATATATCGATGATTTGTCCACGTGTAATTGGTCAAGTGGCGCGACAAAAACTCCACACATATTGCGGTCGGAATTGGCCTTAAGTTACAATTTATTTGAATGTTTTTTGTTTTGATAAGTTCGAAATTCGGGCCTAAACCCCAATCTTTGTCCGCAAAAAGTCAACTTTTGCTATATTTTATTTGAGAATATCTCCTCCCAAAGAAAATTGAACAAGGAGAACAATAGATCAATTTACTTGCATGTTGATCGGAACTGGACCAAAGTCCAGTTAAATACATGATGGACTAAACTTTATGGGTCGGACGGTTTAAATGTGTTGTGTTTTGGCCATGTTCTAATCTTGAAATCCAGTCCGATCGATGCTAACCGAACCACCGTGGTTAATATATGTGTGTATATATATATCGATAATTTGGTTACAAATTCCTTTAAATTATGTTTGAAGGCCACAAGAATGGGGGGGGGGGGGACACGTTTTGAAGATGGGTTTTACGCTATAAGTTTAGTGGAGCAACGTCACTTTCGAGACATGTAAGATCATGCACAGGAAAAAGATGAGTCTCTCACGCGTATGTGTTTTTGAGTGTTACATGTGAACAGAATCACCCGACCTATGTCTATACACGTGTGACCATGTCGAGACAAAACAAATAGTGGCTCTATCTTGTGGTCCACTCATTAATGTCACAGTGTGTTGTGTCTCTATGACTGGAAAAAACTATTCAACACTTGAAGGAGACTTTTGGGAATTTCACTTTTTAAGTTTTTTGGCAAAATCACCCGAAAGGTTATATAGCCGATAAATATTATTGGTTTCTACCAGAAACTTGTGAAGACTTTTCAGCATCCACTGAGGTAAAAACCCCATCAAGGTTTCTAGAAGAGGACCACTCAAATCTCAATGGCTTAGCTTTAGTTATGGATATTGATGCTTGTGAAAGATAACTGATCCGTGGCTTAGAATTGAGACTGAAATCAAGTTTCTGTTCTTCAGTCAAACTGTAATTGACAATTGAGTCATGAGTGGAAGGGTCAAAAAGACTTACCAATAGGTTTCAAGAATGATGGTTGTGTAGAAAGATGATAGATATGTGATTCAAAGATATTTGTTCTATGATCCTATCAGTTTCCTTAGCCAAACAGAAAAATTGTGTGATTTTATAAAGGGAAAGGATCAAAGACAACAACAAAAAGGTAAGCACATCTCTTAGTTCCTCGAACTGTGACTGTATAAATGTCGAAAACAGGTCATTGATTCAAGAACCGGCATGACGGAAATAGAGAACCGAGCGGTACAGAGCAGCAACATGGAGGAAACAAATCAGGGCTATGAGTAGATCATCAAGTAAACCGACTACCCCCAGAACTCCTAAGAGAGAGAGATTTGTTACGAAAAGATTTGTTTGAAGACAGTGAGATAGAGATCTGATTCATGAGATTGAAAGACGAAATTACCTTCTGGAATGATATCTATTGGACTGATAATGTAAACAGCACTGAGAATCATCTGCATCCAATGCAAAGAAACTGTGTTAGTCCCAGCGGATTTTAATCCAAATGGAAACATTGTAAATCTTTGTAAACAGAGTGACCAAGATTTCTGAATATGGTCGAACTTAACTGCAATATAAACTCGAGCCCTAATGACAAGTGGAAGCGTTCTTTGTGGATCCATCATTTCCCGTAACAACCTGCGGAGTAAGAAGGGAAGGTCTTGCATTCTCTGCCAAGGGAAAAAGAATTTCCATATGAGAGATTTTCACATCACAACTCGAGATTTTCCAGCTAACAAAACTTACGGGGATGCATGGAATGCTTATGAATCAAAAGGTCAATCAACGAACTTGAAAACATACCTGAACTAAACTACTTGAACGCCCACCAAAGAGTCGGTTGTACGTTTCAAGATTACCAAGAACCTCTGCAACTGTACGGTCACTACGATCTCTGATTGTATCCTCTGAAGGAACCAGCAAACTAATTGGACGACGACACAAGGGGCATTTGCATGGTTGTAATGTAGATCCATGCCTCCACACAAGCATAATGCAACTCCCTAAATAGAATCAAACAAAAGTTAAACAGACGGATCATCTGGAAAAGCAAGTGACCATGAAGAACACTTTAACAGAATCTGCAATCGGTTATGAATCCTTCAGAAAGCAGACGGTAAACAAAACTGTTCAAAGTTTGGAATTTTCAGACAACCTTACATATGTCCAAAGCAAAAACACTTTAGTAAAACAAAGAATCGGTAGGCTAAGATCATTCATTCCAAACTCTACACATTTGAGATTCTAAATGCATTACAAATCTCATTCATACCAAACTGGCAGTAAACATTCTGGGAATAGCTTCAGGCAAAACAAGGAACACACAAAATTGTTCAATCTCATGGAACACGAGTTAGCGAAGATACAAGAGAAAACCCAAATCAAGATGCAAAAAAAAGGAAGAAGCTTAAGACTAGAGAAGAGGATTGATCTGAAAATTGAGAGAGAGGAGACTTACCGCAGAACCAGTGAGAGCAATTGGCTTGGCAAGGAGAGGTGAAGTTGGCATGACAAATCGAACAAAGATCGTTCTCCGGTGGTCTATTCATCTCCGATCTTCTTTTCCTCGTCGGAGTTTTTGACTTTCGCTATGATTTTTTTTTTTCCGAAGCAAGTTGAAAGATTACGCGTTTGCTTGTTTAGTCGGTGACTATGGTGGTCCATCGGAACTCCAATCGGTTCGGTTCGGGTTTTTTCCTTTCCAATTAGTGGTTTGGGTTATTTCCCGGGTTGCAAATTTGGAACTCGGTTTATTAGGCCCATAAAAACAAAACAAAACAAAACGGCATGATGTTCACTTGTAGATTCAACGAGTTGCACGTTGTCTCAAGCGAGTATGGAGAATGGTGTGTTGTTTGTTATGGTGCCGGAGAAGAAGCCTGAGGTCAAGTCTATTGATATCTCCGGTTAAAGGGAATGTGTTGAACAAGATTAGTTGAACAACGATTTGTTATTTTAATCTCTATAGATTATTTGATTGGTAATTTAGTTGCCCATAATTTGCTGTTTTAAGGTTGTGTTGAACAAGAAGTGTTTTTAAAAAAAAATCAGTGTCCAAAACCACTGGGAGAAAACAAATAAGGTTTTACAATTGGCATAATCTCAAAAGACTGCTATCCTTGCAGGTTTAAGAAACAGTTTAACAATAATTGCGTAGTAGCGTTGTTTCTGATTATCCCGATATTCGCATAGGTTGCTTACTTTCCGCTTTTATCAACACTGTCTACTCGTCCGCAGCCTGCAACAAGAAGAAACAAAAAGATTCAAACCTTAAGTTCTTATAGTTTCTCATGGATTTAAGAGGTTAACCCAAAAATGATATAAATACTCATGGACAATGACCACTCAGGTTTATCAGGATGACTGAACTCTGAATTAACCACCACCCACATTCTGTTTATTCTACTCTTTGTGTTAATCTACAATAATCACACATTACAAATAATGAAAGTTGCAAAAAGGAACTGTTTTTTCAACTTTGCAAGTAGCAATTACCTATCAATATATGAAAAGGATTGATATCTAAACTCTATGTGTCATTATTTACCAATACTTAGCTCAGTACCTAACACTACAACACAAAGAAAGCATGTATTGTATATGTTTTTTTCAAATAGGAAATCACAGCACTAAGAAAAACTCAGAATGTGGAATTAATGTTAACATAGCAAGGATGTATATGTATAGAGACGTGATACCAAATTACAAAGTTTAGCGACCCGTTACTCAAAACCTATCTAATTTCTCGACAACTTCTCTAACAATTTCTCCACTAGTCTCACTCTTGTACCTAAAATAATGTATCAATTCCCTCAAACAAATGCATTTTGACAAAAGAAATTGCAACTAACCTGAGGAGATACAGAAGTCTCTGTACTCTTGGAAGCTGCTAAATTTGACGAAGAAGAAGGTGCATCAAAAGCACGAGAACAATCTGTGTACGCAGAGCCAATACCAAGTCCAGCACCAAAAGCAATCGATGCCCATCTTGTAACAGGACTCCCTATTAAAAACAAAAAAAAAAAATCAGAAACTAAATTATGAAGGAAAAAAATCAATCTCAAAATTGGAATGTAACCCTAAAGGGAATAACAAAGTATGATTCAAATTGGAGAAATAAACACTCTAATACTCTAATTGATTCTAAAAAACTAAAATCACAGTTTGTATATGTATTCTCAAAGCAACAAAAACAAGTTATTAGAAAACGAGAATCGAGTGGGGGAGATTGAAAACACCGAACTGAAGAACAGAAGTCCGGCGAAAGCGCCGCCGAGTGAGGAGTAGACGAAGCGGCGAGTCGTGATATCGAGACAAGCGTCCCACTTAGCATTCAAGTCGTAGTCCGGTGGTACGTTCTCCTTCTTCTCCGCCATTTTTTTTTTCCGATATCGAGTCTCCTCTTCCGATTGATTTTGATCCTTCGAGTTTTCCGTTTATTTTCTGGTTTTTGCTCGATCCTAAAGGGTTTGTGCACACAAGAAAAGTGGGCTCAAATTTGGGCCCAATTAAATTAGACACCATCAGACCGAAACCTTGGGCCTCTCTGGTAAGAGGTCGATCTGGTTTAGTCTGGTTTAGA